ATACAGCAGAAGATGAGGGATGTGCATGCCAGAACTATATTAAAGATTAGCTGTAGCACCTCTAGTGCCACCAGATGAAGCTTCTTACTGTTCAGTACTGTAGTGACCCAAGGACTCACCATGACAAAGTCTTCTGTGACATTTAATGCCTCCCAACCAGAGCTCAGGTATTCTAAACAACTTAAGATCGGTTAGGACTGTGTTCCTGCAGGCCAATAGAACACATATGTCTGTTATCAAACATAATTATAACAGCATATGGAATTATATTTACTTTACTCGGTTTGTGTTAGCGGATTATCTATTGACTGATAAAGCTGTGAATTATCGGTTTACAAAATTGTTTAAAATTTGCATCCCTGATATTCCAATATATTTTGAATTGCTACCTTGTGATGAATTTTAGTTTGTTTTTCTAATACATATATATATGTACAATTTTCTTTAAATAACAGCAAATGAAGTTAAAAATAAATAAATAAATAGTGTAATATTAGAGTCAAATGTTGTAAATGAATGAACTGCCATTTTTAACAATACAGATTTCTGATTTAGGCTTTATTTACAGTTTCTTTAGGCTTAATTCGTAAATGAATATAATTTTTTTCTGTGATTTTACTAGTTACCGGTAAATTCACAAAACAGAATATCTGTAAACTAGCAGTAAATTGTTAAAAGAATGATAGTGTTTATTTGGCTGGCTATTGTACGTTGCTCTTTCAGCTTCTTCCTTATTTTGGTTGACATTCATTGTGTTTGCTTGCGTGCAATTCTGTCAAAGCACTTGAGGTGTGTTATATGAATATTTTATTATTGTATATCTGCAGTGTTCCAGGTTTGACATCAGCTAGAAACCTTTGCTACGTGCGACACTCATGTCTCCTTCCATGTTCTCTATTAGTGTTGAACAATAAAATAATAACAAGAGGCGTGTCTGCCAAAGACAACAGTGGTAAGGTACGAAAACAGAACATTTAATACATTTCATTATCGTCACATTTTTGATGGTGTCTCAGTGCTCCATCATGTTTTCATCTATTACGCCGTAAATATTGAACAGAAGCTTGACTTTAAACAAATAAATTGCAAATTAAATCACAACATTTGTCAGAAAAATTTTAAATACATATTTTCCCAGATTGTTCAGCCGTATCCATAACCTGCAAACTGTTGGTTAAATTCCACTGCTTTATTTTAAAAGGCATTAAACCCAGCTGTACATTTTAAAGCACCAGTGTAACCCACGTTAAGATACCAACATTACAGCACGAATAGCTCTGTACAGTACGTACACAGGAAAGCTTTATCTTTTCTGTCGTGTTGAATTACTATTTGCTGCACACTAACAAATGCTTGCAGGCTTTTAGAGTTAAAATGTTCATAAATGTGCACTGCCTTACTTCAGAGGTGTTTGAAAACTGGATTTGAGTGTTTTGTGCATGCCAGAGAGGTTGTTGAAATCCTGTTCAAGCCTCAGAGCAACACAGACAAAATACTACAGGACAGTGGGAAACTGTAGGGAAAGCTAACTTGACGAGGGATAGTGTGGGTGGCGGAGAGAGAAATGGACCGAAAAGCTGCAGAGTAGAGATCCTGAATGTGTCGTTGCATTTAGTGACCTCTACCTTGACCTGAAACTGAGCTAAAAAATGTAGAGAAGCACTTAAAAGAGACGGAAACAGTTCACAAGAAATCCAAAACTGACAGTCAGGACAACCAAGTAAGTTAAATGCAGAGGAGGACGTAGTTTAGGTGACATTTTTATTTCTCCTCCTTTTCCTTCGGATGTGATCACCTCACAATACGTCTTCCCCGTGGGTGCCGAGGAGCTCCCGAGCACCCACGAAGCATCACCACCTTAATTCGCTGTTACACACTGGCTCTGGTACTGCATGAGCCACTGTGACAAAGTGTAGTTTGCTGTTTTTGCGGCGTGGGTGTTGACACGTTTTCCCTCGGCAGCAAACCGTAGCCGCACAGTTTCATGCTGAGACTGTTTAGTACTACTGCTGGAGAATCTGCGTACCGGACTTCAAACAATGGCAGAGTAGGAGGTCTATTGTTTATGATATTATCTGCATGCATGCCTTGTTTGTGTGGATGCCAGTCAATCCGAGAGCGTCGGTTAAATTCGCACACCTTCCAGACTTAAACATTTTTCCTCGCTCCAAAACAGAGCTTTAACGAAACGGTGTGTAAATATAAAAATGCGGTCTTGGTGTTTCAGTGTGTATGGAGCAAACAGGCTTGCGTTGCCTCTAACTTTCTCTGTGATCATACATTTGAACTCTTTTAGTGTTGTTAAAGGGGCTGGAGAAGGCTGCTGAGGTTTCTCTCAGTGGAGAGGCTGCCTACTACTACTATGACTAAAATGGATGTAGGATTCTTTGTGCTTTATTCCTGTTGCATCAAAATTTGGTAGAATTTTTAGAACAGGTTCAATAACATTCGTTTCACTGACTCATCATTCTAAGGCTGTTATTAACTCCTCAAGTTTTTGTAATCTCTCTGGTCTGGTGATGGAGACAGGCTCCCAGAATGTCTTTCATCCACAGAGCTCAAGTTTGTCCATTTTGGCATTACAGTTGTGGAGCTGATACTGAATTTGGGTATTTTTACAGGCAGAACTTCCCAAAATTGCCTCGGGCTTAAGTGGCTGAATGTCGATACAGCCAAACCCACACTGCAGCTGTTGCTGTAAACCTGAATTTTCCATTTTGTTGGGGGACGCTGTAAATATGAAATGAGGATTTTATCACTGCAGCAGCTTGGGAATGAGTCCTGGTTAACCCTCTGAATACCGAGCAGTTTCTGGGATGTTGTCTTTTTATTTATTTTTTGCTCCTGTTACATTTTTACTCACAGCAGGCTCATTTTTCACTGCAATGTAAAATCGTGCTCAACCATGAAGTAGAAGTAGAGAGAACTAAAACATGTCTTTTATGCATTATGGCACAGTTATAAAGATACAAATCATAAATAGGAAATCACAATTCAATAGGTTGAATTTCTTTTATTATTTATTTTACAAATTAAAAAAAAAAAACTCCAATAAGCATGTTCAGCATTTTCTCAAAAAGATATTAACAGTACCAAAAAAAAAAGGGAAAAGACTCTATACTATATTTTTAAAGCTACTCACATTTGAATTTGTTTCCATACCTGTTTCATCTCTGCTCTTTATAAACACTGCCTGCATGTCAGCTAAAAATCCCTGAAGTATTTTCCCATGACTGTTGGTTGTAGCTGAGTCACTAGTGACGTCTCGGTTTTGCTTACTCGTTTTTTTTTTTTTTTTTTTGGGGGTAACATAATCTGTAAAAAATAATTTTTGGTGAATTTTTAAATGAGACGTGTACAATGATTAGATTTTGATGACATTTCACAGTCGTTTTAAGCTGAGGTCTTTGGAGTTCAGAGGGTTAATATGTTGTGATTTGGGGCTGCAGTTTAATCTGTAAAGTCTTCTTTGTTTCTGACAACAGAAACAGAAACTGTGCCTACAGACACACAAGACTTTATTTAATTTTTACCTCTTCCTATGATTACACATTTTAAACGTTGACGATGAACCGCGGCTGTTGTCGTTGACCTGGATTCATGCTGATTTTGTCAGATCACGTTGCAATCATTAAACTAAAATGCAGTCAGTTTGGCAGCTTTGCTGCTGAAAAGAGGGCGAAGAAGATGAGATGTAGAAGTTTTCCTGTTGTTCAGTTGTTTGGCTGTTGGCGGAGGTCTACATAAACACAGTTGGGTTGTGCTAATTACGACGCACAGAATGCCTTTATTGTCATTGCTCAATAATACCATGAAATTTAAATTGCTGCTTCAAAGCAATGCAGAAACTCAGAATCTTTAAACAGATTTGGGATTAATGTGCACACAGAATAATAAAACACACGAGGTTATGGTTATTGAATATCTAAAATATAATACATATTTATTGGTATAAATATTCTATCATCCACTTCTGATCTGAGTGACTTTTTTTCCTCATCTGTTTGATTTCTGAATGTTTGAAATCTGATGTCAGCATCATTAAAGGCCCACTGCTCCTACTCTTAATGTAGCACAGATATTTAATGTTTAATTGGAAAACAATGTATATGATTATTAACTCTTTGAGTTATAAACATTTCTTTTGCTTCTGTCACATTTATACTTTTGCAATATAAAGTCCTTTACCTCAATGGAAACAGAGAACGAGAAGTAGAGAGAACTCAGAAATGTCTTTTGATTATTTATTTTACCAAAACTGCAAAAACCTGGAATCAACATGTACAACTTGTGTTCACAGATGTTAGCAAAACTGGAAACATTGACTTTCTTCACTATAGATATTTTACAACTAATATATTTAACTTGTTTCCATACTTGTCTCTTATCTGTATTGTGTAATCGCAATCTGCAGTTCACCCAAAACGTCCCTGTATTTTTTTAAATGTGATATTTGGTTGCAGCTGACTCACTAAAGTCGTCACAGCTGTGTGGAGAAGCACAGAATTGTTTTTTTACATAATGTGGTCGGCACAAATGGTTAAGTGAGACGTGTAGAATACATAATTAAGATGAAATCCTACAAGTTTACCCTTAGGTTTTTTGATACATCACATATGATTAGTTCAAGGACTGTCAACAAGTTAAAAATGAAATGATTGTTTCTGCCTTTGTTATAGAAAACATGCCTTCCTAACCCTGTTGACTTGCTCTGAGGGTTGAAGACAAACAATAATATTGTGTATGGTTTTCATTTTATAATGACAATCATGCATGAAAGTCAATTATATATCATAACTTTATTGTATTTATTTGTTTGTTTTTTGAGGGGTTTTAGATGAAATAATAATATAAAGAGCATAGTCTGGCAGCTCTGACTCTGAAGCCTCTGTAAAGTTTCCATTATCTGAACTGATTCAAAACACATCCCTGCACTTACTCCTACTCACAATCACTCCCATGTTTGTCCTGTCACAGGCTTGAATCCACCCAGAAACCCCATGGAGCAGGATGTGGAGAGCCCAGCCATCATCAGAAAGCCCAAGCTGCCAAAGCAGGTCCGGGAGGACCTGCCCAAACAGCTGGCAGAAATGGACCGCGCCCGGAGGATCCAGCGGTACGTCCAGAAAGACGGGAAGTGCAACGTCCACCACGGGAATGTCCGAGAGACGTACCGCTATCTGACGGACATTTTCACCACGCTGGTAGATCTCAAATGGAGGTTCAATCTGTTCATCTTCGTGCTGGTGTACACAGTGACGTGGCTCTTCTTTGGCTTCATGTGGTGGCTTATTGCATACCTGCGCGGTGACCTGGACCATATAGCAGATAACCAGTGGACTCCGTGTGTCAATAACCTCAATGGGTTTGTATCAGCATTTCTGTTTTCCATTGAGACAGAGACCACCATTGGTTATGGATATAGAGTCATCACGGACAAATGCCCCGAGGGGATAGTGCTGCTTTTAGTTCAGTCAGTGCTGGGATCTATCGTGAATGCCTTCATGGTGGGCTGCATGTTTGTTAAGATTTCGCAGCCCAAGAAACGAGCTGAGACACTAGTGTTTTCCACCAACGCGGTCATCTCGATGCGAGATGGACGGCTGTGCCTGATGTTCAGAGTCGGAGACCTCCGAAACTCGCACATCGTCGAGGCTTCAATCAGGGCCAAGCTTATCAAGTCTAAGCAGACCAAGGAGGGGGAGTTCATCCCTTTGAACCAGACGGACATAAACGTGGGCTACAACACGGGAGACGACAGGCTCTTCTTGGTATCGCCCCTCATCATCTGCCATGAGATAAACCAGAACAGCCCCTTCTGGGACATCTCACAGGCCCACCTGGCCAAGGAAGAGCTGGAAATTGTCGTGATCCTGGAGGGGATGGTGGAGGCCACAGGTGAGTCGACACATGCGTGAAGTCAGAGGTTGGATTAGAGGAGTTTGGAGGAGCTAGTGTTGCACAGGGACACTTACACAGCAACTTTCATGCCACATGTGCCTTCACACACATTAGTATGTAATATATATAACAATCAGTACAGTCATAAATGCTAACAGCATGGCTCTATGGTGACAAAATCTTTGTCTTTAGGTTGGTCACTACAACCCATTGCTCCCAATCTGCATGATGTACGATCACTAATATTGTTAAATATACAATTATTTCAACTATTATGTGTTTAGTTTAGTGTTTGTTTGTTTTTGTTTTTTTTTCAAATTCAATAGAGTTCAGTTGGAACGGGGCTGATTTTTCTTACAGCATTAGCTTTGGCAGTAATTTATCAGAGAAAACTGACACTTGATCTGCAACTAATGATCTGATCATATCTGTGATGACATCTTAGGAAACAGCCACTGTCTCTGCTCACAATCTCTTATCTGTATTTACTGCATTTCAGAAGTAGGTCATCAAACCATCTTTAGGTAGATAAATGCAAGTTTAGTTTGATCGATTCTATAAATGATATTTACCATGATATTTAAAAACTCCTCGACTCTTTCCTTTGAAATAAGAAAGAATGAATTGTGGAGTTTTAGTACAAACAAATCTGGTTTGCAGCCGTGCTCAACACTGAATGAATGAACCAATAAAATAAGATCACTAACTCCAATTCTACAATCCTACAGTTTCATTTGGCGGACCCTTTTATCCATAGCAACGTACATCTGAGCGTAGATACAACAACTAGAACAATAACGAATGGATTGCAATGAAATTGTGTACGGACATTCATGGTGCCCAGAGGATGAATCCAGCCGACCTGACTGCTCTTGTAGTGCCACTACCAGCTTGACATTTGTGGCTTTTAATGAAAGATGTCAACAGCTGTGGAAAGTTGGTGCACACTTTTGTGTCTCGCTCATGAACAATCTTCACCAGCACAAACTGGCAACTTGTGTAAAAACAACATTCACAGGTTTGCTCCTGCATAAATGCAACTTCTTAAGGGAAAGCCCAAACACAACGAGAGCTTCACAATGTCCAATCTTTTTTCTAAAGCATTAGTGAAATGCAAACTACATGAATAAATAAAATAATCCAAGACAATGTAGTTGCAGTAACAAATTATTCATAAAACATGGTATGCAGCTACACAGCAGCCTTGCTACACATAAGCCTCGCGTTGTTCGTAGATTAATTCATGAAAGTTTTAAAAATTAATCTGTAAAATGTAAAAATGTCCGTGCATCGACTTAACCCTTGTTTAAAACAAATTAGCGTCACATTTAAAATAAACAGAGCAAGGAAAATGTGTCTGTTCCTCCGGGAATGTAACACAGAACATTTCCTTTTATAGAAGGCTGTTTGAATTTGACAAAGGCAAACACATATTTAGAGCACAGTAGCAGCATTAGTAAGAGTACAAGAATGACATGTAAAACCTCAAACTAAACAAGAGTCGCTGCTTCACCTACATGCTGTACACTTTTGCGAGTTTGCATGGTGTTTTGTGCATAATGTAGCACAGCAAGCTCAAATTGTAGCAGTTAGCTCAAAGAACTTCCGTCTTGTTCTTTACTAAACTGTGACCAGGTGAACTTTTACCAATTTCAGTTCACATCATTCATGACGTTCAAGGTTTTCTGACGGCTAAAACAGACTTTAACTGCAGGCGAGTATGTTTCTTAGCTTCTACCTCAGAAATTACGTTAACGCTTCATAATAAGGGTACAAATCATATATTTAACTCATACTTAACCAATGCAGGATGCATCATGAATCCTGTTAGAAGTTACTATGACTTCATGTGATTATTTCACACTTAATAAATCATTAGACAGCGAATGTTAATTCATGTTTACTTAATCTATGAACTTATATGCAATCAGGTTAGCTTGATTTCAGTTTTATATATATTATATAAAATTGTGTTGATTTTATTATGTTTATTTTGTTAATGTTTACATCGAATGAGACGTTCGGGGGAAAAAAAACAGCTTCCCTTTTCTATGAGATCACTGTCTTGCTTTCAGAGAGGCTGAGCACACACATGGGCTGGAAATAAAGTTTTATGTAACTGAAATCCAGTTATAGTCTACTTGCCAGCAGTGTGAACCTGAAAAAGGTGAGCACAAAGAAAAAAAACATACAATTTGGGTCCCAACACTAACAGTTGGTAACTTGTGTATATTTTACATTCTTAATAAGCCCTAAAACTTCTCCAATAGTAATGATTGTGCTGCTTAATTGTATGCAAATTGCCCAACATATGAAAGTTATCGTCTGATAGTTTGTAAATGTGGATCTGCATTGTACATAAACCTTTGGGGTATTCTGTGTTTCTTTGTTCACAATAAGGCTGCATAGGCTGGCAAGTATATTTTGTTTTCAACTTTGAATTATTATTTTACAATTATTTGTTAATAGTGAGCAACAGGAATTCATGATACTTCCCAGAATAATTCCTAAATTGAATCATAATAATTTTGTTACGCATTATATATAATTAATCCTTTTTTCATATATATGTAGTGGTTACTGACACTAACAAACCATTTTGCTGTGAGACCATCACAGTTATCTAAAATGTAATACAGCTGAGCGAAAACAAAATGCTGTTTTTCACTTACGAGCTGCTTTAGGGAATCTGTCCCCGTAGAACCTCTTTTAGGACCATTTTCAGGAGAGATAGAACTACTTACACTGGTGTAATTACTTCTGAGTGGCCCTGAAAAACTGCCCTGTGGGACTCAATGCTGATTTTTCTGTCCTCTAAATGTTTTCGTTAAATAGCAGTCTTCTACTCTCTAATATCACCGTCAGCAGCGTCAACTGTACCATCCACGCTACCATAACAAACCTGTAGTTTTTTTGTTTCCTACATGCTCATAAAGCCGGAGTCCCGTCCAGTAAATGATATTTGTTGTTTTTTTGGGGCACATCAGAGTCGTAGCTGTTGAGTCTTACCCTGCAATGGAAACTGAAAGGGCCGACATGATGGAAGAAGCTGTACCTCTTGTGTTCCTTAGTAGAGTTAATGTGTCAATAATACAAATGCAGCTAAAAATGTGCTGTGATGTACTTTAACACGTGACCAAACTACAGAATTTTAGCCTTCCATCACCATATGATAGATGCATTTTTTTGTGTATTTAGGCAAGCCCTTCCCAAAGCTGCAGCTTCACTTGAGTCAGTCCAGACATATTTAAATTCATCCCACTGTCATATTCTAAAACACCCCTTTTGTGACACGATAATGCTCAGAATGAGACTGAATGAAGGAGCTTTAATGAAACATAAAGAAAAGTCCTGATCTGCAGGGCACATCCAGCAGCAGGACGACCAAAACATCGGGATGGTCAACAAGAGACATGTGGGAGAAACCCAGTACACCACCCTTAAATTACCAGATCAAATTGCATACTGACGGGCCAGACGACATGGTGCCGAGCCGCCCGATTTGTGTTAGAATCTATCAGCCTCGACAAAATAAAATGAACCAATTACATAACGGCCGAGTGACGTGTTTTGCAGCAGCTGCTGGAGGCTCACAGAGGACTGTGTTTCCTGCAGACAGCTGAGCCAACGAGCACACTGATAAATAGGAAAACACAAGTAAACGCCGCTGGAAAGTGATTACACTTTGATGGTTACAGTTAACCGACTGTGGAGGAAATGTGCTCAGATTACCAACAATGGAGAGACTGCGGTGTGTTCGGATAAATTCATGTCCACGGATGCATCACAGTGGCAGACGGAGGACAGTGTGTTTCGTTTCACTTCTTGATATCTGGTAATTGGAAACATGATACAGGGGAACATTTAGACGTAGGACTTATTGAACACAAGTTCTGCTTTTTATGTCGCATTATTTACTCACTGTGGGCTCATTTTTCACTGCAGTATGAAGTCCTGCACCTCTATGGAAACAGAACAACCATGACTAGAAGTAGAGAGGACTCAGACATGTCTACTGTCTAGGAAAACAGTTATGAAGCCAAAAATCATAAAAATACAGAAAAATGAGTGTTTGAATTTCTTTGGTTATTTATTTTAAAACTGTAAAAACCTTAATGTGTGCAAATTCTTCCCAAGTGCCGACAGGTTTGACCACAAATTGACTGTACTTAGTGTAAATATTTTACTGCTTACGTTTTCAGAGCGTAGAAAGACTATTCTGAATATCTTCAAATAACTTTGCTCCTCATTATGCAATTTTTGAGCCATGCTGCTTTTATTTTGTTGCCCAAGTTTGTTTAATTTTTCTTTCAATCTGTCTTATTCGTTTTGATGATTGTTAGCTACAGCTGAGTCCATCATGGCTTCTCATTTGTGTAAAAGAGCGCAGAATTTTTTTGTTTTTGTACTCTGGTGCAAAAGGTTTATTTTTGGCATATTTTTTAATGGGGTACATATAATAAAGTGATGAAATATCACAATTTTAAGCTGAGATTGAGTTAATTTCCTGGAAGTAATATTGACCATCCGTTGTTCAATGATAGTAAATGTTGAAATGTCATTTGTCTTAATGTAGAGTCCACAGTTCTACCAAGCACTTTAAAGACAAACTTTAAAAAGTAAGGAAGCTGTTCTCCAACATACCAGCCAGCATAGCTTACGTTTAACTTTATCATCCTGAAGTGTCTTGGATATAAAATACAATGAGACTGATAATTAGACACAGTGCTGCTTTGAGCTGAATACTAACAGTTTAATAACGAGCTCACAGTGTTCATATGTTTATGTTTAGATCTTACAGTTTCTACAATATTCATTATCTTAGTTCACTGTTTGGGAGTATAGATCTGCTAATTAGCGCTCAACTCAAGGAACAGCTAAGGCATTTGGCGTGCTCTTAGACTTGCAAGTATTTTGCACAAACAGAATTTTTAAAAAAATCATATCTTTTTGCTTTTTAGTCTTTGTTCGATACGACAAAGTAGAGGCAACAAAGAGAAGAGAAAGTCCTTGGCTGCAGCACCGAAATTTTGACCTGAAGACGTTGTTAGAGGAAAAGTCTGAGGATGATTAAAGTTGCTGAATTTCATCCTTTAGGAGGATTAAAATCTCACAGTAAACCATCCAGTAGTTGAACGAACCGCCAACATAACGTTTATTAGAGCCGCTCTGCTAAAGTGGAAAAGAATAAACAGCACCAGTGACCATTTTGCAGAAATGTTTCCACCTGAGAACGATTGTTCTGCCTGAGGAGGCTGAGAACAGGGCTGTGCTGTCATTTCTGTAAAAGCGGCTGCCTGAAATCTTGATATGCTGCTGATTATTTTCACCGAGAAGTTGAAGCGAGGTGAAAGGTGCAGGCAACAGCAAGTAAGTTATTTCAGTTTAGTTTGGAGGCAATTAATGTACTTTAAAAGCACCTCAATGCAGAGATTCACACGATGAAACAGTAGCATCTGGCAGACGAGGATAATGGAGCAGGGTGATGGTGCAGAGTGAAGGATGGACCTCCGAACGCTTTAGACCCCCAGGAGACCCTGACAGAGGACGGGGGAGGGCAGATGGGGAGCAGCGAGAACAATCAGGTGTGCGGGGCAGCAAGGCATTCACAGACATATGACAAGGAAGAGAACCTCTGCTAAAAGATACCCGTCTCTCTGGTTTGTGTCACAATCACACCTCTTCTCTGAGTCACAACTCGGTCACATCGTTTAGATTCAGCGTGATTTACACTTCCTGAGGATCTCGTTTTTTTTTGTCTGATGTCCATCGCAAATAAATACTCAGCACATTAATCTGCTGAGTGATCAGAGGAAAAAAACATGCTTCTTATAGTTGCAGAATTCTCACACTTTCAGTTTTTATTAAGGATCAAAGTCAGACTGTAATAATTCATGCAAAAAGGAGATGCTAAAAACTCACAATAATGGTGTAAGAATGTGAGTAAATACAGGCTAAAAACTGCAGCATCATTACTCCACCTGGACAAATCAAACCAAAACAAAAGTTTGTTGGGTAGAAACAGATTACAGTAATTAGGTGACTGTAATCAGCCCAGATTGCATTGGAAAAAAGTATGTAGGTTATAGTTAGATTGTCAAGAATGACTTGATTATATTTGATGACAAGTTAATGATTTAAAGATCTTTGTGGGAGACATTTTTTTTAAATTTCTTTTTATTTGCACTGAAAATGGGAGATGAACGTTCTGAATTAGTCCTTCTCTGTCACATAACCCAACATCTCCACGTGGCCTTTAAAGAAATCACCAAAATTACAGCATTTATCAGAGCCAGAAAAAGTGGAAACAGAAAGAATCATCAGATTTTTAACTTTACAACAGACTTTGAACTACTCTTCTGTGGAAAAGAGTCTCCAAATCGAAGCTCAAAATTGTGATATTTCATTGAAATCACTTTATGTCTGTATTGAAAAATGTTTCTGTAGTCACAATTTGTAAAACAAAAACAAAATAAATTCTGCAATCCGCGGTGCAACCATGAAGCCAATCAGAGACTCAGCTGTGACTAAAAGTCATATCACAAAAAATCTGGGACTTTTTGGTTTAACTGCAGGCAGTGTTTACACAAGGAAGACAGGGGACAAGTATGGGGGGAAAAAATAGATATCAGTGGTAAAATATACATGGTGTGTGGAGCCACCTTTTTTTCCCCAGTATTAATAACACATGTGGGTACTTTGAATGGTATGTTTTTCCAGGTTTTTTATTTTTGTAAAATAAATAATCAAAGAAATTAAACTTGTTTTTTTCCCCCTTTCGTTTTTATGATTTATGGTACTATAACTTTGTTAATCTGCACAAAAGACACTTTTAGGTTCTCTCTACTTCTTGTCATGGTTGTGTTGTTTCCACAGAGCTGCAGGACTTCATAGTGTAGCAAAAAAATGAGCCTATAATCACTGAAAAGTGACAGTACCAAAAAAATAAAATAAAAAATACGACCACGGCAGCAATAAAAACAGCATCCAGTTTTGTAGAATACAGACGGCACACAGCTCTGTATCTGTGCCAGTACTGTTTTTAAAAGGGTAGTTTGATTTGGCCAACTGTGAGTGCCAAATGTGCAAAAAGGATTTATTTGCATTGAAAATAGAAAAAGACACAAAAAAAGAAGATTTGTCAAAATTTTGTGGCTGCGTCCACTTTTTTAGAATAAGGTGCAATATTTGAACTGTTTCATCTGGAAGTAATCCAAATGTAATCAGATTAGGTTCCATTTTGTTTGTAGTTCAGTGAACTGCATTGCTAATTACAGTTACTCAATCATTTTAAAGTAAGGTAAGGAGAAAGAACTGAGCCTCTAAGGTGGGCCAATAACTTTTAATCTTTTGTTTGTTTTGTTTTTGTTTTTTAAACCAAACTTTATTGAACAATGAATGTGCATACAGAGAACTGAACATACAACATAAACAAACAATTTGACAGACATGTGCTTATAATGATAAATGTTCATGTAAAAAATAAACAATATATTTAAAAAAGCAAAAATCACAAAGGGAACAAGAGGAGGGGCATCGTTGTTCTTTTTGGAACACTTCTTTATATATTTTAACAGTTTTATTACTTTTTTGTATTCATATTATTTAATGTTTTAATATGTTCTTCAAAGTCAATAGAAAATTGAACTAAATTTGTTTTTCCATTTGTCAGCCTACATTTGTGAATTTGAAATTTGTCAATTAGAATTATATTATTACAAGAATTCTATTTCTTTATTTTTGTGATCAAAGTACATTATGACACTTTCACAATCAATTTCAACATCAATTTTAGTTTTACACGATATATAATGATCACGTTGTGTCTGCAGGCATGACCTGTCAGGCCAGGAGCTCATACGTCGGCAGCGAGATCAAGTGGGGATACCGCTTCACGCCCGTCCTGACGCTGGAGGACGGCTTCTACGAGGTCGACTACAACAGCTTCCATGACATCTACGAGACCAACACACCCACCTGCAGTGCCAAAGAGCTCGCCGACATGGCCAACCGCACCCGCCTGCCCCTCACCTGGTCGCTGGCCAGCAAGCTGAGCCAGCAGGGGCTGCCGGAGTCCGAGCAGGAGGGTCAGGAGACCAAGACCAGCCTGGACGCCCAGAGCAAGAGCCAGCAGACCGAGAGGAACGGGGACATTGCCAACATAGAGAGCGAGTCCAAAGTGTAGCCAGTAGGACGGGCAGTGAGCTACAGGTCCGTATGAGATGACTGGACTGGACTGTAGGTGTCCTGCTGGGGGAGTGGGGGGACCGCACAACGAGGACCAACGAGCACAGTAGACCAAGAATCCCTGCACCAAGAACCGCTTTTTCTCAGTGATTCACACTTACCCCAAAAACAACAAAACACGTAGACATGTGGCCCACCGCTGGACTGAAAACCCTCTGTGGGCAAGTGCATGTTTGAAATATAATGTGATGTCCTCCTGACAAGATTCCTATTATTTTTTCTATTAAGATATTCCTAGGGGCATTTGCATAAGTATTTTTGTATATACTATAAAACGTTTTGAATTCTTTGTTTTGTTGCGGTGTGAATATTTGACAGATGTTTGATACTAATTCCTTTTAGGTTAGTTCTGTATATATTCTATGCCTTACTGTATGTATAAAGCTTTCATTATTTGTTTTTCAGAAATATATAAGCATGTATAAACACTATCTGCGGTTATTTTATCTTGTATTGTGTATATACTGTACGACGATAATGTTACAAGGAAAACGTACATCTCTATGGATGCAAACTCTAGTTTAAACCAATGACAAATTCTTCCCCAAATGATAAATGTTTGTTTAAGGTAGAACTACACGAAGCCATGACTTGCTGTTTACAGCTGACTGACTTCAGACAATGGCCCTTTAAAACTGCATTTTGTCACTTTTGCACACTGGAGGCCTCTGGTGGAGAAGGTTAGTCGCTATTTCAGTCTCCAGAAATCCCTCACATGTCACCTAACAGTATCTACAATAAATAAACAGTAAGTTGCTTATTATGCACTTGATGGGACTTTTTTGTTTTTTCTTCTTTTCTGACTTTATTTCATGTCACGTTTTGTGTCGTTATGACCAGAAATGGTTTCAATTGGTGCTTCCACACCATTTGTTCTGCCAGTGTTTAATGGATGCTTGATTTTAAAACTAGCAGTGAGGCCAAACATGGACCAGCTATGAGTATAATTCCAAAGTATTTCCATTTTTTTTTTTTTTTTGCCATTTCAGGTAAATATTCAACTTTTTGTCTCCATTTGGTAAAGTTTAGTAAAGTTACTTTTCTGATAAAAGCTCATCAGAAACTCAAGATTTATCCAACCTTTTTAATGTTTGAACTAGAGATGCGCCGATCCGATACTGGGTATCGGTATCGGGCCGATACTGGACGAAATTACGGATGATTTACTTCACAGTGGTAACTGGCCGATCCGATACCGCCACACACACACACACACACACACACACACACACACACA